ATTGGCAGTTTGGAGGGATATGCTGTGTATCTTTATATGTGTATGCTTCTAAACTGTTGTATTCTGAGCACCTCTGCAAAAACAGTGATAATGTGCGAGTGTGCTGAAAGTGTTGAATGATGATGAAATATTTTCTTTTTGGGGATTTTCTTTCTTTTTTGGGTCACCCTGCCTTGGTGGGAGACGGCCGACTTGTTGAAAAAAAAAAAAAAAATGTAATGTTGATATTCAGCAGTAAGGTTTGACTTATGTCCATTTTCACTTACGACTGGTTGGTCGGAACCAAGCTTGGTCGTAAGTCGGATGGTACCTGTATATCATACTTTGTATACTTATTTATCCTCTTTTTCATAAAATATGTATTACTTATTACCAAACCTCTTTTTACACATAGCTCAATTAGAGGCTCCCCATTTTCATTTACCACTGGCACCCCAAATTTACCTATTATGTACTCCCTCCACAAAATTTTTACCCACTTTAGCATTGAAATCCCCAACCACAGGTAGTCACACTTAGTTCAAAATTCCCTATGCACTCACTCATTATTTCCTAAAATCTCTCTCTCTCCTCTACACTTCTCTCTTCTCCAGGTGCATAAATGCTTACTATAACCCACTTTTCACATCCAACCCTTATTTTACTCAACATAATCCTTGAATTTATACATTTATATTCCCTCTTTTCCTGCCATAACTTATCCTTCAACATTATTGCTACTCCTTCTTTAGCTCTAACTCTATTTGAAACCCCTGACCTAATCACATTTATTTCTCCCCAGTGCAACTCTCTCACCCCCCTTCAGCTTTGTTTCACTTAAAGCCAGGGCATCCAGCTTCTTCTCATTCATAACATCCACAATCATCTCTTTCTTATTATTTGCACAACATCCACGCACATTCAAACATCCCACTTTGATGGTTTTCTTCTTTTCTTTTTAGTAGCGTATAAGGGAAAAGGGGTTACTAGCCCATTGTTCCCGGCATTTTAGTTGACTTTTACAACACGCATGGCTTATGGAGGAAAGATTCTTATTCCACTTCCCCATGGATATAAAAGGAAAAGCAATAAGAACAAGAACTACGTATTAAGATAAAATCAAAGAAAACTCAGATGTGTGTGTATAAATAAACGTGTACATGAATGTGTAGTGTGACCTAAGTGTAAGTAGAAGTAGCAAGACATACCTGAAATCTTGCATGTTTTATTTTTTTCCAACAAGTCGGACGTATCCCACCAAGGCAGGGCGGCCCAAAAAGAAAAACGCAAGTTTCTGTTTTTAAATTTAGTAATTTATACAAGAGAAGGGGTTACTAGCCCCTTGCCCCTGGCATTTTAGTCACCTTTCACAACACGCATGGCTTACGGAGGAAGAATTCTGTTCCACTTCCCCATGGAGACAAGAGGAAATAAACAAGAACAAGAACTAGAATGAAAATAGCAGAAAATTCAGAGGGGTCTGCATATATATGCTTGTACATGTATGTGCAGTGTGACCTAAGTGTAAGTAGAAGTAGCAAGATGTACCTGAAATCTTGTATGTTTATGACACAGAAAAAAGACACCAGCAATCCTACCATCATGTAAAACAATTACAGGCTTTTGTTTTACACTCACTTGGCAGGACAGTAGTACCTCCTGGGTGGTTGCTGTCTACCAACCTACTAATACTAATACATGTACACATATATATACACACATATACACATACATACCCCTCTGGGTTTTTTCTATTTTTTCTTAACAGTCCTTGTTCTTGTCTATTTCCTCTTATCTCCATGGAAAAGCACAACAGAATTCTTCCTCCACAAGTCATCAGTGTCATAAGAGGCAACTAAAATGCCGGGAGCACGGGGTTAGTAACCCCTTCTCCTGTATGCATTACTAAATTTAAAAAGGGAAACTTTCATTTTTCTTTTTAGGTCACCCTGCCTCAGTGGGATACAGCAGGTTAGGTGAAAAAAAAAATAACAGCATACTGACCAGTACAAAAACAGCACAATTCAAATGACTCTTAAAACTGCAACAGTCTCACCCCTCCTTCAGAGTGCATCCACTGTGCTTCCTGCTTTCAAGACTCAAGTCTGGATAACCAATTTTTCCCAATAGCTCTATAGATACTACCTTCCTCATATGCCAAGAGCACGTCAGGCCACAAAAATCACTAGCCTTCATTCACTCCAAACTAACACACTCACACAAGTCTACTGGATGCTCATGCCCCTAGCACTCAAAACCTCCTTTACCCCCTCCCTCTAACCCTTCCAGGGATGACCACATTCCTTCCTTCCTTCCTTCAACACCAGAATTAAACACCCACTTGGTCCTCCTGTTCTGCTTCATCTTTAAATGCAAAAAAAAAAAAAAAAAAAAACACCCCAACATCCCCACTCCATCTTCAAGTTTTATGCATTAATATTCACACTACACTTTGCTCCTAAACATGACATCATCACTGCCTTCAGCCTCCTCCTAGCATCACTCTCTAAATCCCATGCTTCACACTAATATAAAAGTGTTGATACCATTATACTTTGGTACATTCCCTTTTTTGGCTCATCAGATAAACTTCCTTTCTACAGATGTCTCAACACATCACATATCTTTCTCCCCCTCAGTTATCCTATGAACAAGAATTTTTTTTATAGATTAGTACTGGTTAAGAATATTTTTTTTAACCTCAGCCATTTCCCACCAAGGCAGGGTGACCCAAAAAGAAAGAAAATCCCAAAAAGAAGGAAAAACCCAAAAAGAAAGAAAAACCCAAAAAAGAAGGAAAAAAACAAAAAGAAAGAAAAACCCAAAAAGAAAGAAAAACCCAAAAAGAAAGAAAAACCCAAAAAGAAAGAAAAACCCAAAAGGAAAGAAAAAACTTTCATCATCATTCAACACTTTCACCACCACTCATACATAATCACTGTCTTTGCAGAGGCACCCAGATACTACAGTTTAGATGTCCCTCCAAACTGCTAATATCCCAAACCCCTCCTTTAGAGTGGAGCCATTGTACTTCCCATTTCCAGGGCTCAAGTCCGGCTAACAGGACTTAATATTTGATATTTGTGTATTTCATATGAAAACTACATTTATAAAGGAGTTAAATACCATGATTCTTTGCATTATTATTTTTTACCTCAATAGTCATCTTCCATCAAGGCAGGGTGACACAAATGAGGAAACACATTTACAATCCTTTATTCAGCTGCTGTCTTGCCAGAAGCGTGCATACATTACAATTCAAATTATCCTCTGACTACAATATCCCACTCCTCCTTCAGAGCACATGCACTATACATCCCACCTCCAGGACACAAGTCTGACCAACCAGTTTTCATGAATCCCTTCATTTTTCATTTACCTTGCTCACATTCCAAGAGCACATCCATTCCATCCTTATCCATTCTCTTTATCATTATATTCACAAACAAGAACTAAACCTGTGTGGGTCATTCAGTGCTGAATGCTTGTGCATGAAGCAAAAATTCCAAACTTTCAAGATTTGGATAAACTGAGAACATGAAGTGATAATGAGTAATATAACTGAATGTAGGAAAGTGTCATGTAATCTAAATGGGTAATAGTTGAAACAGGCCTCCTAAAGAATACAGATTGTGTGATCCAATTTTAAGATCTGGGAATAAAGGATCTGGGAATAAAGGATCTGGGAATAAAGACTCTGGTAGAAGAGAATGCTTTTAACACAACATTTTGCCCAGGGCTGGGCTTTTTCAAGTACACAGGAATGAGCAAATACACTGCCTTATAAGGTAAATGAGCACCTCACAGTGCTTGTTTGCCTTACAAGTAGTGCATTTGCTGATTCCAGTGTACTTGAAAAAGTCCAGCCATGGACAAAACATTACATTAAACAAGGACTCTGTGCTACATGTGTATTCATTCCTGCCTTGTTGGCTTTTACCACTATCTACCTTCAAGAGCATCTAGCAGTGAAAGAATTTTTTACCACACTGGCCATTTCTCACCAAGGTAAGGCAACCAAAAAAGTACACACACTGCTCATTTACCAACTATCTTGCTGGAAATGAGCAGTCACCACAATTAAAATGACATTCCCACCTAACCTTCAGGGTGCAGGCACTGTACATCTCACCTCAAGAACTCAAATTTATGAAAGCCTGAATACAGATATTTTCAGACAATGAAAACAAAATCAAGACACTTAAGATAGGACACCATGAATACAGCCCTGCTAATAGATACAAACAGGTAATCACCAACAGGCAATTACAAGGCAGTAACTACAAGCAGGTAATTACAAAAAGGTAATAACAAATAAAGAATTAAATGGGTAACCAAAACAAATAATCTCTAGAAGGGAGTTCTATCAAAATAATCTACAAGCAATTACAAATTATCAATTACAGGTATTACAAACAGCCAATTACACACAGACAGACAGACATACACACAAACAAATCATCATAACATGTCAAAATACCATAAACAATTGCATTATCTTCAGAGATCCCTGGGCAAATACTGAACTACCCACACAGTCCCTGTAAGCCTGAAGTGCCCAAGTTTTTTGGCAGTGGGCCACATGACTAGAAATAAAAATGTCTGGAAATGAATGGTGAAGCATTGCCAGTTACTAATTAAAAGAATAAAAAATTTTTAGCAGTAATAAAAAAGTTGAGTTGAAGAAGAGTTGGTTAGACCCATTAGCCTAGTAGTTTAAGTGCATTAGCTAATTAGGCAAAAAAAAAAATTAAAACGCAGGTAAAACATACTACAGTCAGATCTAGGCGAGTAGAAATAGGAAGCATGCCCATCTCACATTCAGCAGATGGAGGATCAAGCCTCTATTACACCTTGTGCTGAATGACCCCACACTGAGTTTAACACTTAACATGAATTATTATTACAGTCTAACAAGCAACATTCAGCTTGTGGACTCCATGTTGGATGCTCGTGCTCTAAGCAAAACTGAGCCTCTTTATATCCACTTAAGCACTAAAAGCATAGTAAAACATACATACTCTGTTCCTGTTGGAGCCCCAAACTCTGGTAAATAAGGAGACATGGAGAAATCTGCAATGCTTAATACTAGTCGCAGTTTTCTTTTGGCATCAGCAAAGGCATAACTTGTTTCAATACTATTTGGGTCTATGTACAGTCTTTCATCTTCCTCTGTTTTTGCTATTTCACCGACTTGGCTGTGGAGGCAACAATGGTTACTAATTATTATTATATTTATGGGAAGTGCTAAATTCTTAACAATCATTTATTAGAAGTGCTAAATTCTTAACAATCATTTACAAAAGTGCTAAATTCTTAACGATCAACAGTACTTGAAAAATGGAAGGAAATCAAGTTTGATCGAAGGAAGGGAAGGCTAGCTCCAATTCATTAAAAAAAAAAAAAAAAATTATCAGCTTCAAAGCATCCTCTTTAAGGGAATTAATGGTTAAGAGAGGTTACATTAATGCAGTATCTAAAATCCCACTTCTAGCTACATATTTTTTCACCTATAAATTGAACTTTGTATATAAAGATGTAAAAATTAAATTTTTTACTTACAGATTGTGTTGGGCAGAGACCATGCCATCAGGCTCTGAGGTATCCATTTCTGGCTTCTTATTGCGGTATTTTGCCAGGATATCATCACTGGTTTCTTCGATTGTTGGAGGCCGATTATCTTCAGATAAAGCTCGTCTTATGGTCAGATCTTGGCTATTAAGCCCTGAACGTATATATGCTGAATCATCACCAGGTCTGCTGCCTGGTTTACGGCGGCCTTTAAACCCTGGGAGTTTGAAGTTTTTGAAAAATCCTCGTTTATGTTTTGCATCACCATCAATTGCATCACGATCGCCTCTTTCAGCTGTTTTATCAAAACTAATGCTTTTTGGTATTGCTCCTGTGGCTGCCATACTGATGGCCGGTGCACTTAGCTCTTGATTATCAACCGAATCTGTTGTAGGACCAGAACTAGCATTAGAAGCAGAGCGTAACTTTCCAGAGCCTCCAACTACATCAGATCCAGAACTGCTGGAAGATGCTAAACTAGTTGTACTCAGATGTAAGCTGCTGTCCTCACCTGAACCACGATCGCTGGACACAAGTTTATGATGAGGATGAATAACAATGTGTCCTCCTTCATTGCTGCTCCCCAAATCCATTAGAGGGGCACTGGAGCCTCCCCTACTACTATCGCCAATAAAAGTATTAAGTAAAAGGTGTTGGTCACCTGACACAATACCATTATTAGGGAGTGTTGAAAGGTTAAGGCTTAAACGTCCCAGAGATTGTGTGGCTGATGCAATTTCCTGTTCTGCTTGTGGCAACTCTTCTTCTCTGTCAGATGGTAATTGGTCCATGAGGCACTGGTCTTCTGCTGGATGGATAGGTTGAAATTCTACTCGTGGGGGAGTTGCTGGTCTGCCTGCCCTATTTTGCAATACTGGAATGGGTTTCAGAATACCACTAGGTATGCTGTTACCTGAATCTGAGGTTAATGAATGTGGCAAAACAGGCATTGGTTTCAATATCCCTCCACTGCTGCTTCCTCCCATGGCCCCACTCAGTGTTCCATCAACTGGTGAGCGAGAGCCATGCGCACGTGGTGTAACATTATCTTCATGATGTAAGGGTTCAGGTCTCAGCAAGTCACTTCCACCCAGTTCAACTTCAACTTCTGATCGCCCTGTGTCATCTGACCGTGCAACACTTTGTGCATCATCTGTATCAAACTCTGTCATCCTTTCTGAATCAGAGGCTAGAACATCTGTGCTCCAAGCTTCTGATGCAGTTTCAAATGTCTCTCCAGTAGCATCTCCACTCAGGTAATCTCCTTGCATTCTATCCAATTCTGCTAAATGTCGATTTAAAAGTTGATCGTGAAACTGGTCCCCACGATCTGCAGCTTCAATTGTTTCTGAATCACTGGCTAACACATCAGTGCTCCAAGTATCGGAAACTAGAGATATAGTTTCATCTCCTCCTATTAGCGGCTTAATTTCAAAACGTCCAAATTTTTCCTCGATATCTGCTCTTGCTGGTTTAGGGACAGTCACCGGGACATTGGGTGGTGGTGGTTGGTTTTCTTCCCCACTTCTCAAGCCAGCTTCTTCTCCCTCTGTTACCTGCGATGAGGGAGTGTCGCGGCCAGAAACATTGGGAGTTCCACGGCCAGACACATTTGCTGATACCATGTCTGACAAGTTATCAGGCTGATCTTCCTAAAAAAAATGAGATATGTAAAATTAATTGTTTGTTATGATAGTGACTAAAAAAAAAAAAGTAATTATCATTATTATTGTGACCACATTGTTGAGAGGGAAGGTACTCATTTGGAAAGGATGAAAAAGTATTCTAAGAAAAGATTATATTACAAATAAAGGCAAAAACCAAAAATATACCATGGATTCCTGCTTAACAACCTAGACAGGGACTGAAGGAAAGATTCATTAAGCAAAAAATATTATGCTAATTGTATTTTCCCATAGATGCCAGTGTTATAACTTCAGATGGGAACCAGGACAATAATATTCCATATCTAATTCCTAGTATTTTTTATTCTTGATGAACTTTTACCAAAAGAAACACAAGCTTACCACTCAACACATCACATGATCATAAAAGAGTCGAAAAAAAAAAGTGAGAAAAAATAAAATACAAAATTCAGTCATACTTCATCTGGTCATATTTCAATTTTTATTTGACTTGGAATATTTTTTTTTTTTTTTTATTATCACACCGGCCGATTCCCACCAAGGCAGGGTGGCCCGAAAAAGAAATACTTTCACCATCATTCACTCCATCACTGTCTTGCCAGAAGGGTGCTTTACACTACAGTTTTTAAACTGCAACATTAACACCCCTCCTTCAGAGTGCAGGCACTGTACTTCCCATCTCCAGGACTCAAGTCGGCCTGCGGTTTTCTGAATCCCTTCATAAATGTTACTTTGCTCACACTCCAACACACGTCAAGTATTGAGAAACCATTTGTCTCATTATGCTATCAAACACGTCACGCATGCTGCTGGAAGTCCAACCCTCGCACACAAAACCTCCTTTCCCTCTCCAACCCTTCCTAGGCGACCCCTACCCGCTTCCTGCCACTACAGACTGATACACTTTGAAGTCATTTGTTTCGCTCCATTCTCTTCTACATGTCGAACACCTCAACACCCTTCTCAGCCCTATTGGACAAAGTTTTGTAATCCGCACCTCCACTAACTTCCAAACTACGAATTCTCATGCATTATATTCACACCACACATTGCCCAAGACATGACATCTCATGCCAAGCCTTCTCTCGGCTGGCAAATTCAATACCACGCTTCACACCCATATAGAGCTTTGTTTAAAAATATAAAATTCACTCTTTGCCCCAAGACAAGTTCTTTGTCTTCACAGATCCTAAGTGCAATCTTTACTCTTCTTCAAAAATACCTATTTAAAAAAGGCAAAAAAAAATAAAAAAAAAAATACTTCATTACTTCATCTGGTCATATTTCAATTTTTATTTGACTTGGAATATATCACTGAAATTCAAAATGAACTGTAGGATTCTTTTTAAATAAGCTCCTTGAAATTCCCATGCCCAAATTTTCTTATCTTAAGGAAGTTTTTCTCTAACATTATATAACCATCCTTATGATATTATTTAATGAAAATTTTTTAAAAAATCAAGGCATGTGCACTGACTGTTAGCTCAATGCATGACACTCAAATTGAGAATGAATTGTATTATTTTGTTCAAAATAAGCTTAATGGATTTCCCATACTCAAATCTCTACTTTTGGTTAAGCTTCTCTAATGAATGACAGAAGAAACTAGTTTAGAATGACATTTAATTATTTATTTATTTTTTATTTATTATTATTTATTTATTTATTATTTAAAATTTGAGCACACATACAGAGGTACAAAAAATACAGATAAGAGCAGCATGCCAAAGCCACTTATACTATGCATAGCATTACGGGCTGGCTTAGAATTAACTTAAGATATTGAGATATTGTTTAAAAAAAAAAGGAAATTGTGAACAGCCCCCAGACATCTAGTTATATTAGTGAGCAGTCATTAATTATGGGGAAGGGGTCTGGTGTACGAGTGGGAGGCAGTTCTTAAGCAGAAGGCTAGTCCTAGGTTTCTTTTTGGTTTTAATTAAATTACATTTACTGACTGATCGTTAAGTGGGGGGTCTACTGTATAAGAGAAAATCCACCAAGGCAGAAATAAAGATTTTATTAACCCTTTGAGGGTTTTGGTCGTACTAGTACGTCTTACGCGTAGGGGTTTTTGACGTACTAGTACGCATAAATTCTAGCGGCCTCAAATCTACTGGGAGAAAGCTGGTAGGCCTTCATATGAAAGAATGGGTCTATGTGGTCAGTGTGCACAGTCTAAAAAAAAATCCTGCAGCACACAGTGCATAATGAGAAAAAAAAAACTGACCATTTTTTTGGAATAAATCAGCGACTTTGCAGTGTATTTTCGTATGGTATTTATTGTTGTATTCTAGTTTTCTTGGTCTCATTTATAGAATGGAAGACATATTACAGAAATTGAGATGATTTTGACTGGTTTTACAATGAAAGGTGCCTTGAAATTGAGCTCAAAGTAGCAGAAATGTTCGATTTTTACCAAACTTCAAAAGTAAACAAATCGTGCCAAGCGTGCAATACACGTCAACTGGTGAGTCTAATATTCTTTCACAAGTGCACCAATAATATTTATACCATTTTTTACACTAATGAGTAGTCTGCACAACAGTAAATCTTATATTTTTTGTGAGAATAAAAATTCAAAGTGGAAAGCAAAAGAATATAAGAGGGGCCTTGAGACGTGACTAATGACTAGAGGAAATGTCATTTTAGTGCCAGAATGTCTTTCTTGTTTATTCTGGACCCTATTCGGAAATTGGCATCTTTTGAAATTTGTGTGAAATTGGCAAAATTGCTAAATTCTGACCACTGTACTGGATAGTTGAATTTCATAAATGGGTGGTTTCTTGCACCCATTCGATAGAAAAAATGGAGTTCTAGCGAAATATTCATGTTTTTTGTCGACTAGTACAGTGAAATTGGCCGAAAATGGGGCTCAAAGTGGGCAAAATCGCCGATGCGTAAACATCGCCGAGACCGCTAACTTTGCGAGAGGATAATTCCGTAAGTTTTCTATCAAATTTCAAACTTTTGGTGTCTTTATGATCGGGAAAAGATTCTCTATCTTTTCATAAGAGAAAATAATTTTTTTTTTTTTTTAAATTTGGCCGACCCTGAGAACGAGTTTCGGAGAGGGCCTGTCGACCCTCAAAGGGTTAAAGAACAATCAACAAACCCTTTCACAATAATTTCCAGATTCAATCTGATAATTATAGGAAACTAGAACCACCCCAATAAAATATCTACAGCAGTATCTCAGCCATTTCATATGCTATATTTAAAATACTGTATTCCATGTGAATTCTCTTTATATAAAAAAACAACTCCCTCCTAACAAGCTGCCTACTTTTTTTATATTATTGCTCTTATATTGCTCTTAATAGGTTTAAAAATGTAGTGTTAGAGTGTTCAGCAGAAGTTTGTGGTTACAGGAAAGTGGGTGCAGGAGGGAAGAGGAGCGATTGGTGGAATGATGATGTAAAGAGAGTAGTAAGGGAGAAAAAGTTAGCATATGAGAAGTTTTTACAAAGTAGAAGTGATGCAAGGAGGGAAGAGTATATGGAGAAAAAGAGAGAGGTTAAGAGAGTGGTGAAGCAATGTAAAAAGAGAGCAAATGAGAGAGTGGGTGAGATGTTATCAACAAATTTTGTTGAAATAAGAAAAAGTTTTGGAGTGAGATTAACAAGTTAAGAAAGCCTAGAGAACAAATGGATTTGTCAGTTAAAAATAGGAGAGGAGAGCTATTAAATGGAGAGTTAGAGGTATTGGGAAGATGGAGGGAATATTTTGAGGAATTGTTAAATGTTGATGAAGATAGGGAAGCTGTGATTTCGTGTATAGGACAAGGAGAATAACATCTTGTAGGAGTGAGGAAGAGCCAGTTGTGAGTGTGGGGGAAGTTCTGAGGCAGTAGGTAAAATGAAAGGGGGTAAGGCAGCCGGATTGATGGGATAAAGATAGAAATGTTAAAAGCAGGTGGGGATATAGTTTTGGAGTGGTTGGTGCAATTATTTAATAAATGTATGGAAGAGGGTAAGGTACCTAGGGATTGGCAGAGAGCATGCATAGTTCCTTTGTATAAAGGCAAAGGGGAATAAAAGAGAGTGCAAAAAATTATAGGGGATAAGTCTGCTGAGTATACCTGGTAAAGTGTATGGTAGAGTTATTATTGAAAGAATTAAGAAAGACGGAGAATAGGATAGCAGATGAACAAGGAGGCTTTAGGAAAGGTAGGGGGTGTGTGGACCAGGTGTTTTACAGTGAAACATATAAGTGAACAGTATTTAGATAAGGCTAAAGAGGTCTTTGTGGCATTTATGGATTTGGAAAAGGCGTATGACAGGGTGGATAGGGGGGCAATGTGGCAGATGTTGCAAGTGTATGGTGTAGGAGGTAGGTTACTGAAAGCAGTGAAGAGTTTTTACGAGGATAGTGAGGCTCAAGTTAGAGTATGTAGGAAAGAGGGAAATTATTTCCCATAAAAATTTAGGCCTAGACAAGATGTGTGATGTCACCGTGGTTGTTTAATATATTTAAGATGGGGTTGTAAGAGAAGAAATGCGAGGGTCTTGACAAGAGGCCTGGAGTTAAAAGATAAAGAATCACACACAAAGTGGAGTTGTCACAGCTGCTCTTTGCTGATAAACACTGTGCTCTTGGGAGATTCTGAAGAGAAGTTGCAGAGTTTGGGTGGATGAATTTGGTAGGGTGTGCAAAAGAAGAAAATTAAAGGTGAATACGGGAAAAGAGTAAGGTTATGAGGATAACAAAAAGATTGGGTGATAAAAGATTGAATATCAGATTGGGGGGGAGAGAGTATGGAGGAGGTGAATGAATTCAGTTTATTTGGGAGTGGACGTGTCAGCGAAGGGGTCTATGAAAGATGAGGTGAATCATAAATTGATGGGGGAAAAAGAGTGAGTGGTGCACTTAGGATCTGGGAGACAAAGAACTTTGTCCTTGGGGGCAAAGAGGGGAATGTATGAGAGTATAGTTTACCAACGCTCTTATTGGGTGTGAAGCATGGGTGATGAATGTTGCAGCGAGGAGAAGGCTGGGGGCAGTGG